CTGTTTACCTGGGGCGTAGTGGAAAGACTGCGAGCGTAAAAGAGGTCGCCCAGGTGAAGCAATGTCTGGACCGAAGACCTCGCCGTTAGGACGCAGGGCAGCGCCACGCAGRCCTACAGTCGGGTTAGCCACACTGTCGTCTGAGATGAGACACACACACATGCGTGAGCGGGCTTCATGAGCACACGCTCCATCATCATGCAGAATCAAAAACAAGAAAACGGTTAATCAGACATGATGTACAGGAGTTAGGCACCGTCTACACGGGAACAACGTGTTTGGCAACAAATTCTGCTAAAAGATGTTTAARTTAACGACACTCTAACCATCGATAAGAACAAGAATTCCTCCTCTTGGTCAACACCGTCCTGCACTTTATGCTCCTGTCCTTTAAGTGAACCACATGTGTCAAACTCAAGAAAATCTGGCCCTTGTTAACATTTTATCCGGCCCCAAATGTAACGGTTTAACTGTGAAATAGTTTTATGATTGCTCTTCTTCTTCTCGTGACAGCTGCCCAAGTTTCAAGCTGAGACAATTAATGTTAGAATTTTTCAGTAATCTTGGATTTTGGTGAGGAAAGAGCAACAGAGAGTCGACTTTATGTATTTATTGTGCTGTATTCTTTTCTTATTTTGAAGTCAAATAATTGGATTTTTTTTTATCTAATGATGTGTCTTTCTAAAAGCAATCCTTTTACTTTATCGGTTTGGTTACAAATGTTGTTAAAGCAACACAAAACATAATTTGTTATATTTAAAACATCTTATACTCTCGTACCGTCTTCACCTCGTTTCCTGCTCCTGTTGTATTTTCATGTCACAAGGTGCGTTGTTTACACGTGTTGCCGTGTTTACGAGGATATTTTTAGAATTGACAAATAAAAGAATTTGAATGGGGCGTTCCCGTGTAGACAAGGTGTTTTGATGACTTTATGTAAGGATTTTAAAAGCACAAGGAGCCGAGCCGAGAGCGGTTAATTTCCTGTTAATGAGTGGACGACGTGACTCAAACACAACAAAAACTCACCAGGCAGAGAGGAGGAGGAGTGTGTTCGAGGAATGGTGTGGCTGTGCAGATTAGGCTGCAAAACAAAGCACAAATAATAAAAATCAGGCTTTTATTCTGTTAACTATTGACCTAACCGATCAGACAATCTTATATTTAAAAAGCAGCAGTCTATTTTTTTTATTAGGAGTCAGATTTGGGTCAAAGTGTAGAGTTTAAAACCTGATAAAAGAAACATTCATGTTGATAAAATACTATTTTTATTTTGCAATGGTGCATACAAAATGTCTAAAACATTATTTCTTGAACTTTGTAGCATGCAACTTTGCTGAAACCTTAATTATAAACATCTGCTGCATATTTTCCAACTTAAAACTTATATTTGATGATGCAGGAATGTGATATTATATTGTTTTTTTTTGTCTTCAAGCCTATATTTTTTGGGATTCATGTTGAATTCAGGACAAGAGCTGGTGCCAAAATAATTTGATCACCCTCGTGGAAAGTCATTTTATTAATTGTATTGTATTTTATTGTGAGTTTATGAATCATTAGCTCCTTTATGCTTGTTCTGATTCAGCTGAGTTGTTTTTTTTAGTGTCAGTTAACAACTATTAGCATGCTAATATGCTAACCTGACAGGGTGAACGCGTAAAACTGTGCACACGACAGATGAGTTTATCTTTTCAGCAGTGACTCGAGGAAACTTGGAGCAGCCAGACAAGAGAGGCTTTACAGGGATTCAAGCTCTAATTATAGATTTAATAACAGAATCTTAAAATAGTGACCTAACTAAGAATTAGAGCTGCTGCAGCAGACAGAGCGGTGTGTTTCAGTCGTTCTTAGACAGAAACCTGGAACTACTTTCTGTACACTTTACAGGATAAAGAAGTGAAAATAGTTTTTGTTTTATTTTGCAGAATGTTATTAAATCAAGTTTTGTTAAAGTTTAAAAAAACATAAACTAAAAATGCTAAATCAGCAAAGTTGTAACTAAAAGCTAAAGTAGCAAAAATCTAAAATGAACTAAACTGTAAGTTAAAGTGAAACAAACAGATAAATGCTTAAATTAGCCAAACAGCTAAGATTAGCAAGCGATGGCTAAAAGATATAAGTTAACAAAACCATCGCTAAAAGCTAAAATTGGCTAAATCATACCTAAAAGCTAGCAAAACATCAACAAAACAGCAGCTACCCATTAAAGCTAGTAAAACTGTAGCTCAAAACTAAATGCTCAAAAACATAGCTGAATGCTAAAAATAGCCAAGCTGTAACTATCAGCAAAACTGCTCAAATTAGCCAAGATTATAGTTAAAAGCTCAAATTAGAAAGATAGCAATGGCTAAAATTAGCTGAAGTAGATTTTAGAGAACGTGTTTAAAGAAACTGAAAAGATCTTAAAGTACAGTAACTCTAAGAGTTAGGGTTTTTGTATATGAATGGTTAAAATAGTACAAAATGTTCAAATGAAACTGCGGAAAGCAAAACGGTGATTGCTGACTCAGCAGCAGGCATTGGGGGGTTATTAAATAGTCAGCTCTTCAGATTTCCAGCTCTACAGTAGTTTGACTCTGCTCCAACGTAAAACACATCGATTTCTCTCTCCTCTATCATTCTTACTGGAGGGCAGGAGAATATTTAGCTCCTTATGCTCCACAAAGTGGAACAATCTGGCAGTTCAGACACTTCTCCACCCAATGGAAAAACCGTATCTGATAAGACATTCGGTCTCAGATTGAGGTGGCATTTCTTATTTCCATTTTCTAGTCTTGGTTGTTGATTTTACAGTTTCACAGAAGCTTGATTCATAAGAAAGTAATACATCTGAGCGTAAATCTTTTTACCCACTTACTGCTGGCTGATGTGCTGGAAAACGAGTTTAGTTCTGGGCACTGGAGAGAGCTGGCGCTCGTGGGAACAAATGAATGTGTAAAATGGAGACGTGGGTAATGTTTCCTCTGTAAAGCACGTGGCTTTTATGCCAAGTGAGTTTAGTGACGCCATGCCCCTGACCTGCAACAGTAAAGAGCTCAATTGTTGAAATGATTGTTATATTCTGTTAAAAAACAATTGTCCTGTATTCAGAGCTGGATGTTTTAACTCACCATTTCTCTGACATACAACGTTGACTCATGACCAGCGGGTCAAAGGTGGCCTGCGAGAGCCTCAAAGATTTATTGATGTCTTTAAATAAGTTGCTTTAAAGCCGGCATTGACAATAAATTACAACTCCCATTATGAATGTTGGTTATTTTAACCGTGAAGTGATGGCATCCCACCACTAGGTGGGGCTGCACAAGGTTTACAAGCACAGGTATATAGTAGCTAAGTACATTTACTTCGTTACAGTACTTAAGAAGGTTTTTTTTTTGAGGATTTTTAATTTTACCAAATATTTTTAAATAGATACTTTTAATTTTATTTCATTACATTGCAAAGCTAAAAAATATACTTTTACTTTACTTTAAAATGTAACAGAGTAACTAAGTACAAAATTAAATATGTAGGAACTCATCATGAAAGAAGATATTTCTGCACTCTAAAAAATGAAATGTTGAWTTTACTCAACAAAGTCTTCAACTGGCTCAACTAAGCCTAGTCGAGTAAATTGAACAAATAATATACATATATTGCTCAATTTACTCAACTTGGCTTAGTGGAAACAGTTTGGTTCAGTAAATTCAAGAGCTTATTTATTAGAGAGTGTGTAAAAGTACTTTTACTTTCCCAATTTTTGTGAACAGTTTTATGACTATTACTTGAATAATTTTCTCATCAGTTAAATAAATTTTTTTTTTACCAAAGTCCTTTTCTGTTTATGTCATTTTACTTTTACTTTTTTTTACTTTTTACTTACTATTTTTTTTCAAGTACTTTATAGACCTCTGTTTAAAAGTAGCCAGCAGCTGGTAAAAATTCACCATGTAAAAATCTACATTTCACTGCCGTTTCGCCAACTACTTTTAATACGGCCCAGTTGTACAAGAAAAGTGGGAATTTCCTACTTATAATTCATAAGTTTAAACTAGAACGCGCCTCCAGTGGGAATTCCTTGTTGGAAAGTGGGAGAATTCTGTATTCAAGACGGCAGCTACTCAACAGTGAGTAAAACTCCTACTTTTACTTTTAATAGTATTATTTATTTCACATTCAGTCAGTTGTACACGTTGAACTTCTGTGTTTAGAAGAGGATGAGTTAAAACACTGTTTCTATGCAGGAAATACCATGTAGAGCTCAGTTATAGTTTGTTAGTGGTGCTCAGCCGTAGTAACGAGACGAGGACGTTTGTTTGAGGCTTATTTTTCAGTCCATCTTCTCTTTAAATGAGTGACGCAGGTGTATGGTAACCARTGGGACCATAATGAGCATCTAGCAGCAGCTTTAGCTGATTTTTTTTGTTGGTTCTCGACAATTATTATTCATTAAAATGTTGATTGATGTTGATATTTTTGAACAGCAGCCAGAATATTAACATTTTTACTCAAGGAATTTTCTAGCATTTGTTGTTGTTTTTTTAAAAAGTGAATTACTCGACTCATTGAGTTACTGCTGACCTGTGACGTGGACAGGGAGTTCACGCCGCCGTGGGATGCCAGCTGTGCGAGCCGCAGCGTGCTGGGGTGAACCGGCGGCTCTTTGGCCATCAGAGCCTCGGCACGTTTGATGATGTCACCCATTCGATGGATGAATCCTTCCTTCTCTGAGGGGAGGATGAACTCTTTGTGCACCTGGAAYCAAAACAGATACAGGAACAATATGCACATTTTATTAAAAATTTAGAAAATGTCCTCTTACATAAAATCTAAAACTCTGGTTTGTTTTTCTGCGGCGTCGCTGTAAACGACTGTTTTTCTGGATATTTTCTCAACAGAATGGCAGATTTCAGCTCATTTAAAGTCCAGTACTGAGAAGAACCACGAGGCTGTCGTGATGCCAGGTTTCCCCCTGCTGTGCCAAGACACGGTAAACAAAAGCCCACTGTATTTTAGAGTCAGGGAAACGACACGTTCCACYAACAAAATGTCCCGCTGCTGCACTGCACCTTGTTCGAGTACAGACTTGTGTACGTACACAGAATCAGGGTGACAACATCAGACTGATGTTGACTTTTAGCGTTTAAGCTTTAAGGAAGTTTATCCATCATTAACCCTTAAATTAGTCTAATTTAAAATAGTATTTTAAATCTGAGGACTTTTTTAATCAAAAACTTCTCTTTTTTAAGTTTCTACAGAAATTTTATCCAAAATTTATTTTTTTAAATTTCTTGGCTTTTGAGGCACACAGGAACATAGAATGAAATATATTTATATTCTGGGTGAAACAATACATGTACCCGTATCGAACCGTTCAATACAGTGCTTTAGGTTTAATAAACACTTGTATCGAACGATACAGATTTTTAAAATTTATTTTATCAACATGTCTTCTGAAGACGCTCTGTGTTGAAGGATCAGTGGATCTGTGTTCGACTACTCCACCTAGGCTGCATTTTTGAGCGCAGATCGACAGAGAAACTTGCTTTTTCAGCAACATTTATTTAAAAGACAGTACTTTTGAGGTTAAAAAGTGGTCATAATTAATTTAAATAAATTACAAGTTAAAAGGGCACAGAAATTTCTCTTTTTTGTATCGAAAAAAAGATCGAATCGTGACACTAAAGTATTGAACCGAAATGAATCGTGAACTTTCTGTATCGTTGCACCCCTAATATATAA